GTAGCAGCCAATTGATAGACACCCTGAAATACAAAGCGTAGTCGTTTTGTACTTTGTAACTAGCACGTAGCGCACATGGCTCGGAGCGAAGAAAGTTCAAAATCCTGACACTTCTACTATACATCTTCTGGATCCATTAAGTCAGTGATGAGACTACGTATGACCTTAACCAAACAGCCTGCTGCGTTGCGGCGCGCACCATTATTGACTTCACTACGTGATACTGTATTCGGCCTGCAAAATTGCCTTCAGTGTGAGGGAATCTCACACGAACCTGCCATTTCACACAGTACATTTTGGACCGATTTGGGCTGCTGATTTGGCCTGACTGACAGGTTCCTGTAGAAAGACATGACCATCCAATTTCCATCCGGGTTAAGAATTATGTTCTGCGGACGCAACGATGTGCTCGGAGAAGGTTCTTCGCTGCTGGACTCAGCCAGACAGCCACCACACATCCAGAAATGCGCTGGGCGATCATTTTGCCCTGTTGGGAGTCGTCAATAGCTTGCAGCCACCGAATCTTCCCGGACTAGAACGCATGACTTCAGCCTTATGAAACAGCCACTTATGCCACTGCACTATATGCGATGGCATCGAACCGCCACAAAGGTCATTATTATCCGAGCAATCTATGAGTCTATACATATACTGCACTCATGCATTGTTGACGTCAAGTGTTCACACACAGTGCGTTTTCGGAGTCACACGCTCAAGCATTTGTCAGTGCTTGGAGCATAACTTACGAAGTCAAACTTTACCTAGAAATCAACAAAAAAGTGCTCTTTTGATGAGTCTCACATGCAGCAACTTTTACAACTGATGAATGCATAAATGCAGAACTCAGATATTTAAATATGTATTTCGTATGACCTATTGATTAAATCCACGCAGTTTCAGTTTCAAATATCGCGTCCATCAGATTCAAGTGCAAAGGCCTAGTCAAAGCACTGTTTTGCTAGGCATATGGCGCTGGTTCACTCCATAAATTATATTTTATATCGGATAACATTACATTCAGTAGCTCAGTGCACAGCCTGGCAACAGCATTTCGTGCCCTTAAGAGGCCAAAGCAATCGAAAAGCTAACTCGGATGACATGTATACTTGTTTTCGGATAACATACACTTAATCTAAAAGAGATGTAATTGATGCACTAGATCCACAGATGCTGACGCACTGATGCGCTGGGCTCATTCAGCGAAGGAAAGGTATATAACGTGGAAAGCATAAGTTGCTAACATGTACCGTGGGATGGCTAGGATAAAAGATAAAGCGGAGAAAAAAGACGTGGAGGCAGAACAACGAATGTTTTGGTGGACTCATCATGGTGTTTGCAAAATGGTGTATATAAAGTAACCTATCTCGACTGTGACAGGGAACTCTGAGGCAAACAACGTCTGCAACACCAAAATGGCTGCTGATGTACAGAGGCTACACTGTCTAATATAACTGAATTAGAGCATCACCGTGCAGCTTTCTGAACACGGATAATATACCGGCGAAAACAACCTAAGTAAGGAGGACGTTCCACAACTTACACACACGAGCGGAGGAAATGTTTCTGTGAACTTCCAACCAAATAAGTTGCTTGGCGAACGTGAGCTTTTCGTCCATCATGCTAGCGTTGTTTTGCAATGGTCTCGGCAAATAATGTAACGGTTCCTCAGATTCTGGCAGGTAATTATAAAGTCACTCCGTAGATGTACAATCGTAGGACCTTCATTCCAAGTTGACATGGTAGGCAGCACAATCCCGCAACTTTCTTGGTCTCTTCTCATTGTGGATGCACTAAGGAGATATCACTTCAACCAGGACAGGATAACGAATTCAGCATGCCACCGCAAACCGATGCCAAGCACCTACTGCACACGTGTATCTCAAACCGCCCAAATTGTTCTCCTCAGAAAACCTACATGTTGGTCCCCGATCATTTAAACTTCAGGTTAAATTAAGCAACCCGAAGTATTCTGAACTAATACACCAACTGAATCTAAACATCCTCAACGAATGTCGCGGTACATCCGTGGACACTTTGCGGAAAGTGCTAGCTAATAGCATCCGGCGAGTACTGCTGTGCAAGCCAAACGACCGTGGCCCCTTTTTGAACACCTTATTCGTTGATTTTCTTGCTCCTGAAACATACTTCATGTAAATATATGTATAATGCCTAGCGATGGATTCCACTAGCACATTGTTGCGATGGGTAATGGTGCGCGTATTTCGTCGGGGTTACATGGACGCTGGGAGAAAATAGAACAATATGGGTAAGTGCGAAACGCCCAATCACTCAATTGCCTGACAGGGTGCAGGCGTTGCTGTTGATGTTTACTGTAAAATTGATGGCCGTAGACGAAACCGTTTGAAGCTCAATAGGCTGCGTTATGCGCTTCTTGCAAGTCAAAGTCACTCCTTCTGTTGCCCATATGACGTTAAGCTTGCGTTTGCCAAGTAACTCCATTATGCTTACTGCCATTCCTTTGTCTATCATGGTTCTCCAGTGTGAAGGGAACTGTCGCTGGCAGATTACATAGGTGCTACAAGATGGAGATATTTTCCAAAACGATTATCGTTAACTACTTCGGCAATTCGCTTCAGCCTTTATAGATTCAGCCTAGCGCACTTGCCCATTATGCACAAACGGTGCGGTGTTATCTTAAGGAGGTTTTCGGTCACCGGTGGATCGGTCGCAGAGGTCCAAACGATTGGCCTGTCCGGTCAGCAGATTTGAGACAAAGGTGCTTTTGCAGCATAATGTGTCAGAAAAGTTATCACAGGGATAACAGGCTTGTGGTGCACAGAATGCGTGAGAACCCATATGCGTGTGCTGTGGTCCCACGATTTGTCATTCATTTTTTCAAGTCAATGAGCTTCGTACTTTGTGCAATACGTGATCCCTAGTATCCTCGTTGATTATGTATTGCTTAGAGATGCGGCTTCTCAGTTCCCTGCTAATAGAATATTGCCTCATCAATGAATCTGTTGGAATGAAAACTCATGGTCCCGCCTGAAACAAACTGGGCAGCGTAACCACACTTGTTTCCTGCAACGGCGATCAATACTGCGATGGGAGAATAGGCTATGCGGCAGCGAGTAGTCTTTAGGCGGCATGGCTTTTCAAAACTCCTTTCTCAAAACGTCACATTTCATAGTTGCAAGGCCTAATTGTAAGGAATGTCTATTTTGCTAAGGTAGGTTGTTGGAAGGTAACTTTTAGTCTACAAGAGCGTTGCCAATAACCCTTTTGTCACTAGCTGGGATAACACTAAGCACCTATTGCACACTCCTCCCTCAGGCTAGTTATGCCTGTCGAAACGACGCCACAATTCTACCTCAGTATCCAGGGTATGCAGCACTACTGTTTCCATTTTGCACACCTGTCTCCATACCAACCAGCCCTACACAGTGTATGTATCGATCGGGCGAACTTGCCTTGTGGCGTGCCGTAGGTTGACTCCAACTCAACCACCCGCGCACGGTCCAGCGTTTTCATGATGGACGCCACTGGCAATCCCACATATACGGTTAGCGGCACCCTGTCTCGGATTTGCCTGTCACTGTGGTCAGCCACAGGATGCCTGCGCCCACACAGGGACCATGGGTGGCTTGCGCTGCACCACCCACAGCTCCAACCACACACCCCATATCCAATGTAAACCCGAATGAATAAGACCAGGAGGCATGTGAATGGGAGCCAAGTTTCATCAACGGAGCCGGCCCACACTCCATCACAGGCAAACACAAGCACACTGTATTTGGGAATCAAGCGCACACAAGGCGGTGGCTGGACCGTATTCCGCCACACACTGTGTACACGGAACCACTCTTCGAGCCTAGCACGGCCAAAAGGACTGTGCACCCAGTCCCTTCCAGCAACGACCAAGTGTCTTCTGGAGCCAGCATGGACGATGTAGTGGGTAATAGACAGGTAAGCACCTTGTCAACATGCACATCAAGCGCAGCCACACTGGGGATATCAAACAACAGCCATGCACTTGAAAAGACATTATCAAATAAAATATATCTGTTAAGGTATGCGCCTATGCAGACATAACTCTACCCTAAATTAGCATATGAAGCAAGTTGGTTAGCAACGAATCCGCAATAAGGAAAAAATGTCCACAAGTTACTCAAAAAATGCTACAAACGCAATAAACTTAACGAAAATAACCACAATTAGCGTAAGCAGCGTGTATAAGTTAATAGATTATTCAGGTAGGCAGAACAAACCAAATAAAGTGGAATGAAATTTAGCCAGCTTAAAAGACCTAGTTTAAGTGTAAGTTGGTTTAGCCCAACTGCGGTGAAGAAGCATCAAGAATGCAACATCAGCCTCAGCATAGGGCATAATCCCACATATACCCACATGCATGCATACGGTCGTTCTACACCCATGTGTGTGTGACATTTCGAGATAGACCAACATCTACTATTGGACAGTTGGCACTTTATTGCGCTCTACCTCACACCCGAAGGAATGACCCTTTGTCACGCATTAATAGTGTAGTGACCGGATTATTGGGACAGGCTGGATATTGCGTTACTTCGTTCAAGGTTTAGGCGCGAGTGCAGCATGCATCACTGTGACATGGTACTCGGTACTCTGCTCTGTTAGTTCTGCTACCATAAGAAGCTTCCAATACACCCAAGATGAACGCCCGCGATTTCGTAGCCTCGGAGCATTTAGTCAGGTGCGGTTATTCAGGCGGTCGATGCCTTTTAATAATCGGGGTACATGAAATCCCTCAACTTTTCCGCCATTTTACTGTGCACACCCAAAATTGTTGCAGTCTTGTCCAAAGCCACAAGTCTGTTAGAACCTCCCACAAATGGTGCGGGTTCCAAACCACTTCTTTCGGTTACATGACGCTGTACCAGTTTTTTCATCGTCGCCACTAATGGGTATATTTTGTATTTCTTCTGTTCGTCAGCATCTTACCCACAGCACAGTTGGATGAATTTCTGGATACCCTTACTAACATCGCACTGCCTTTGGTCGAAATGCAACTCACATCGTCGCCAGAACAACTGGAAGTGAGTTTTGGGATTAATCGGTCGGGTGAGGAGTCTGCTTCTCGGAGGTCAACCGTGGATGATCCACCGGTAAGTTTCAGATTGGCGCCTAGCTTCCCTAACACTGCATTCAGTAGACCCGAAGAGCGTGACTTGCAATATTTTTTGTCGCAAGTTATTTCCCCTTGAACCGCATTATGTGGCTTGCTGTTCAATTGCGATGGTCTAGAGAAATTGTATTAATCGTTCTACTCTTTATTAATCTAATAACTGACAGTAACACCGGTTAAATCACCGAAGATCTGTACATCTGCTGACCTTTGACTGGGCTCTGTCCACTGTCCCAAGGTGGTGGTTCGCCCGTTGCTTTCGCAAAGCTGATCCATCAAGCGTACTCCTTGACTCTGGTTTACTTGGCCTGAAACTCAGAAGAAAGTGGAGACTTTTCATAGGGTTCCAACCCAATTGATACCGAATTTTCCTCAAACCAACCATGATGGTCCGTCTTAAAGTGTGCCAGACTCTTGCTGTCGCTACATACGCATGCATTCTTTAATAAGCTCAGCGCTATCATCCAACATAATAATTTTTCATGGGGAAAGACATAATAACTACATGCTATTAATTAGATAACATATTAATAACTAAGCGCACGGCTACTGAATACTTACACACCATGGATGCATTTCTTAAAAATTGTCAGATCCCGGACTTGTCTTAATAGAGGAGAAGGGTACGTTCCTTGTAACAAGTATTAGCCATCTTGAGTATCAGTCGTCGCGGTCGTCGCTCATGAAAAATAAAGTCTGGACCTCCACTTAATGCTCTGACCACAAAAATGTGAACGAATTGCGGTTGTTACTGAGAGTGGTCAAGTGGTTCTCACGACTCACACCATCAGCAGTAACACATCTGCATTCACTTCACCAAGTTTTACGCAAAAATCAACCTTGTGCTTGTAAGTGCTCAGAAAAACGTTTTTAACACCATTAATATAATCTTGGCAACCACCAAACTTCTTATGCATTACGACCCACGGAAGTTGATGGCTCTTGCGATGCTTCACTTTAACCTCTTTGAGCCATATTCTTGAACGAACTTCCGGACGGCTCTCATCGACCCGTTGCTTATGCGTTACGAACTTTGATGACGGCAGTACAAACTTACTCTCAGCTCAATCGAGAAGCAACCGCGATTTGTTTAGGTACAAATCGATTTCAACAATGCCATTCGGTTTACCTATTGTAAATTACATGAATCACAAATATCTTTTATCGCTTGTTGGCAACGAAGAAGGATTCAGCAAATGGGTTCGTCCAGAATGCTTGTTGGTCTCTTATTCTGTCTACATGTATAGTTACCAAATACAATAGTCCCTGGCTGATGCTCTCAGACAACTTTCACTACCGAAATATATTCAGAAGAATTTGCTTCACGGGAACTCGGAAATTTGAGCCAACATCACAACGATTGTCACGTTTCATCAACGAACATGCACCAAGAACCTAGAGAGACCCACTTTAAACACCGCTGAAACGCTTCGTTCAGGCTGGGTGACTGGAAAATACATCCAGGGAACTCATGCCTTTTCGTAACAGATTGATTGAACTCTTTCCCCAGAACGGATGTGTATTGTGGGGCGCACTGGTTGTAGTCCCCAAGAAACTGCGATCAGTTATCCTGGATTGACTGCATGATGAGCACTCGGGACCTGCTATAATGAAGTCGTTATCTTGCTTCTACTTATTGTGGCCTGGTTTATGCGCAGGCACTATAGCAGAAGTTTGCAATTGCGTGCTTTGTCCGGCAACTTGGTAAACTGCTGCTCATGTACAAGTGCAACCCTGAAGGTGACCAGATGCACCACGCAAACGTCTTTGCGTCGCTTTTTTCAGTCCTTTCGTAGGTCTGGTGATTTTGTTGACCATTGATACCCATTCCACCACTCTACTCAAGACCAGATGAATTTCGCGAGGTTTACTTATTTCATAGCGATAAACGGTTCTAAATGTTTTCATAATGATGTGTGGACTCACGGCTTCTGGCAAGGGAAATGCTGGCACCTAGAGTCAACCACCGTCCTCTGCACAAGCCCTAATCTCCATGGTAGTGGAGGATGGGTCGGGCTATATTGCAGTTAGAATCCAATCCATGAAGATCAGCTGTGCTCCCCTATGCCTCCAAGGTCTACTAACCAATACAGATGTTCAGATCCGTTGCGCTTGCCTTCTTATGGATTACCATCACCTATTTGCTGCGCGCCATTTTGTTTATACTCATTCTAGTTGGCTTTAGCAGCTCTACAAGGTGGGCAGTTCTTCCTGGATTATTTTTATCGCTGCAGCGTCTGATTTGCGACTGCATTTGTGACGGATTTGTAACTAATGTCGACGTGAAATTCACCTCGATTTTCAAGTATGTTTAAGGTCTTTTTTACATTCGTTGGCAGGCGCTTGCTGAAGGCTATCGAGGTAACGGCAAATCGTGCTTCATCAATACTGGTTGCTGCCGCTGTCACACATTTTGCCATGCGTTGCTGCTGGCCCAGCACATAATCAGAATCGATCGATATCCCAGTAACACGGCATTCTTTGTGACCATATCAGCCAGCTCGCCTGCATAACCCATCACCCAGAGAGCGCGACCACGCCGATCGCGCATTTGACCTTTGCAAGTATATCGCTCGTCTGACCGATGTGCCCACTAACAAAGCCGATAAACTACAGAACATCAAGCAAGCCATGGGGTCAGGTAACGACACCACGTTGAATAGCAGAAATCAAGCAAATGCGAATCCAAAAGGGCTCCAGTCGAAGGGTATTTGCGGGTAAGGAGAATGTCATCGGTTGGTTAAACTAGGCTTCGCCTGCACGCATTGTCTCAAATGGTAACCTCAGAAGTGTGCAACCTTATCCCAACGACAGGTACGAGAGCGAAATAGCTCCCAAGACTCCCTTTGGTTTCGTACTGCGTGTTCAACCGTCCGATTTGTTAAGTGTATGCTTAGCTTAGTCCAGAAGTGTGATGGGTTAAAAGCAGAAGCCGAGCAGCAGATGAACGAAAAGATTGCTTCATTAGAGGCGAGGCTGCAGCAAGGAAGCGTAGTGGCCTCCAAACGAAGGAATGCTGCACTATTTGTTTCCCCTGAAACAAATCAGGCAAGTAGCAAAATATCCTATTGTTAAATGAAAACGCAATGGTATCAAGAGAACATTTGGTTTCGATAACTCTTCCACAGCCAGCTCCCATTGCAGTTGTCTCCCCCAACTTTAGCAGAACGCTAGGCGAAAATTGACCGTAGCTGTCGCAGAACTCGGCCATTCAGGGACAAAGGGTTATTCGACAAGGCAGACTCAGAGAAAATGACAGCATGACTAAGTCAAAGAAGCCCCTATGTAAACAACTGGGTCAGTTCCATAACTAACGACGTTGCTGCACTCAATAGATTATCCTTTTGAATCAGTCAAACAAACTCACTCCAGCCCTGCCAAATATGAACCAAGTGGAGCATAGGCGAAGATGCGTAGGCGTCCATTAATCTGCTTCGTTCGCTTGCGGCAAGTTAGCCGCTTGCTTCGTCATGTAAACCCGTACCGTTCTGCTTGCAAATCCCATTCACAGTAGATACGAGAGTCAAGCGGTACTTATGGCAACGAAAATCAGGCACCATCCGAGAGGTTTGGTTTCTCAAACTGTACTAGATCTGATATTAGTCAGTAACAAGGACGAAGCTGTCGAAAACCAGTCTTGTGCATCTGCTGCTCAAAGGTCTCTTCTCGAGCCAAAGTCCCCCGGGATATCAATAAAATACGCTGAGATTGCTGCAAAGCGCAGCTGGAATACGTCCTTGTGGTCCGTCCTATTGCAAGCACCGCTAAGGTGAACAGAAAGGCCAACAGCAGACAAACACCACTTGGCAACAGGTCAGGAAACATTTTCCCTGACCTTGCTGCTCAACTAAAAAGGGATCTAAAAATAGTGCCCTGAACCTACTGTGCTCAAATGTCCCCGAATCTACCGCCACCCCGTTGCGTGGTAAGTTGTCGGACGACAAATACCAGTAGAACTCATTGTGCGTTCTGATGAGTGTCAAGGCCAAAGCCATAAACCCAATACGGATTATTCGGCACTCGGACTCTGCATACCATGGAAAACCCAGACTTAGTCGAGAAACACTAGAATCCTTCAATGATTTAGAAAACGTTTTACTCTCTGCGAGTAGGTTACAGCACCGATCCTGGGGAATACGCATCTATCCCGACGTTTTTTGGAGCCTACGACAGTCGAAAAGAAACGCCGAAGAAGGACACAGAAAGCAAGATCGCTTAAACCCAAGCTTCATCTATAGCGTGCCAGAGTTTGCTTCCAAGGATCTTCAGGAGGCCGGAAAGTACGATGTAGAGCAGTGGTGGTTCATTCTTGCAGCATTTTCTTTGGACAACATTGTGGCGCAATCGCTCAGCAGGCTGCTTTTCTCACCAAAGTATAGATAATGTGGCTCAAGAATCCTGAAACTTGCGGTTCAATCATAGTAGACAGTAACGAATATTTTGGATTGATGGCGCAGAAATGGGAAAAATGTTCCTTCTGAATTTTGTTTAAAGACGGCAGAAGCTTTGTAAACTCCAGATATCAGAGCATCTGAAACAGCAAACGTACGGCGATGACATAGTAGCTTTACTTGACTGTTCCTTTACTGGAATATGAACGCAGGTCTAAACGAAGATTGAGAAGCACCTTGGCCGAATAAAGTTGCAGACGAGATATCAGAATCCTGTCAAAAACAAATAACGGCCAACCTCACATCGGTCGGTACTCTCCCGTATCTGATCCCTTTAACCCGCTGTGGGCTCCTAGTGACCGAGAAACCAGCCTGCTTGTATACGAATACTCAGGGTCTTCTCATAAGTTGGCTGAATCGAAAAATCGCCAAGTTCCCGAGTTATGTGCTATCATCAGCATCACTGAAACGTGGTTACACACTGGAATAACAGACGTTGAAGTTTCGTTTTCGATCTTGTTGTGCATCCAGAATGATAGACTCACAAAAGGAGGAGGGGTAAGTCTGTAGTACCGAAGCGACTTACAGT